GATTATGAGTTTCACTTAACTCTGAACTGGTGTGTGACTCTACACTGTCTTTTGAAATCGTTGATAAGGATAAATGATCATTAGGAACACTGGACTTAATGGTATCCGAATTACAAGACTTAATATTCGTTGCAGCAAGATGGACAGTCGTATTACAAACTGACTGAATATGTCCAATATCACCACATTTAAAGCACTTAGGATTACGAAATCTACATGAATTAAAAGAGTGGAACTTGCCACAGGACAAACATTGACCAAACTTGTGCCCATCTTCGTGAACTGCGCCGCAGCTCCTCAATGAATTATCTGCATAACCTTGAGTGTGCACTGGGTTGGGATGACGTAATGTAGTCGAATCTTTTATATCCTTGTGAATCATTTTACGAAATCTACCTTTACCGCAATCAAAATTTGTATACTTAATATAGTCTAGCAGTAGATCTTGAGAGTTGTATAAAAAAGCGAAATGGGCTTTTCCGGTAAAGCCAGAGTTTTTAATAAGCTATATGCTTCTTTTCCGATGAATGTGAGGAAATGTGCTACAATATTAACATCCTCATCATCTTCCTTGATCATAACCCAAATTTCGAACCTTTCAGAGTAATACCCAAAAGCATGAAGATTTGAATGTATATCCAACAATTCCATCACAGGCTCCATCGCGACGCCAATGTGATGATTAAGAGTATTCGAATTGTAGTATGAACTAAGAATCCCAGAAATAAAAATCGGATCAAGAAGTACTAGATAAGCACGAACGAATGCACTGCATTTGGAATTCTAAATCAAGCATTCAACAAGTACAAAGGAATCATTGGTTCATTCAAACACCACACCACTTTAAAATCTTTTAGTATTTATAAATGATAAAATTTTAAATGTACATGTGAACGTCTTAATAACTATTTGATAGACTTTTATCAAAACTTCACTTTCGTAGATCATTTCATAACAGAGCTACTCAAGTGAATATTTCTAGTGGTGAGTCAGCTATTTTCATTTTGAATACTTTACCTAATTAAGGCGGAACATCTGTTTTCTGGAAAATCATCCTCAGATGTAAACCATTTACTTTAATGATCACATTACTTATCTAAGTTGAACTTGTACGTGATTAGTCTGTCAAATTGAATGAAATACTAAGTTCCCCACCATATTATGTGAGTTCTATATTAATAAGGTTAATTTAGGTTTTCTTAGGTAACTACTATTAAATAATTTGTACTACCTTGAAAACATCTCTTCAATCACTTGCCTTTTCTTCTCCCTGCTTTTGCCAAGCATAAATAAATTCAGCTAACAGAATTTCTATATTCTTAATTGTGGACTATTCAATCTAAATATTTTCACGACAGTGACTAGCATACAAGTTGATAATTTATGCGCTGGTACGGCCGAGAATGGGGACAGGCAGTTCTCCCTCTCGAAATGCTTTTGTAGTAAGCCCATTCCACTACTGTATTATTTATCTGTTCACTGTAATTTAGACACTTGATCCACTATGTAAATTTTTGTGTGATTCTGATTGAGCACATATCAATTCTTTAATCTATTCTCCCATTGGTTGTAATACACACACAATCAATAATTTATCCATACTTGATTAATACTCAAACATATATATATATATATGGATTTTTAACACTCACCCTCACACACACACACACACTTCCTTCACATATTTATTACAATCTACTCACTGATATTCACTCTTTTCTTGTCTTTACGTACAGTCTAGCCATGACAACTAGAGAAGAGTTTAAATATATTTGTGAATTTCTCTTTTATTAATTATAAACACTAAAACTAATTATTTTAATAGACTTTAAAACAATAAACTATTAATTTCTCTACGATATTATCAGCCATTTAGTTTATTATTTTACACACTATTCTCTTTCTCTTACACCTATTCCCTTTCTTTTATCGACTCACTATTTCTTTTTTAAAATAGTTATATTCTTTAAAGAAAAAAAAAAGAAGAACATTTTAAAGAACATAATCATCATTTAGAATAGTTTATGAATAATCATTTTAGTTCACATGTGAAATATTCTGAATAAACTTTTCTTTTTCTCTTGATGAATTTATTATCTTTAAAATTATTATTTAAAGAAGAGGTTACAAGAAAACACCACTTAGAAACAAGTAAAAACAACACACACACACACACAAAAAAAAACCCACAGGAATAAGATATTTCTTCTTTTTCTACTTTAAAATCATCTGTCAATAATTCGCTCTTATTTAATCGAATACTGTTTGTTTTTTAATACTTTGTTTTAATGAATAAAGAATGAAATGACAAAATAATAGTAATAACAATAATGTTAAATATTAGTATTATTATTATTATTATTGATAAGCCTATATTATGCATTAGTCGTTAGGGAAAAAGAAAGGACTATAAGTGTTTCATGATAAATATCTTCATAAACTAAAGACAAATTGGAAATTTCACCATTTGTCTAATAACTTAGTAGAAATTTATTTATTTTTAGTTCATTTCATTTGTTGTTTTTTTTCTGCTTCTTTTTTGTCTTGAATGAAAAAATTCTAGTCGAATTTATAAGTGAATTAAGAAAAATAGACTCATATTGTCTCGTACAATAGAATTAGAATAAGACCATACAAATTCATACAGATGCATACATGTATAAACATATGAAAATAATTAACATCATCTCAAGTATTTAAAATGGTTTCATTTCATTTTTTTAAGTACTGACTATATAATGTTCGTAACTTTCAGTAGAGTACTAATTATAATTAACATTGTAGACTGGCATTAGTTAGACAATTATTGGAAGGCTCTGGACAGATGTTTCGTTCTAATATAGGACTCCTCAGCAGCGCGTGCCTGCGACCTTATTAGAGATTAAATCCAAGATATTCGGTGTCGCGGTAAACACTTAACTTCCAAACCACTGAGCGGATAACCGATGGGTTATAAGTTCAACTCCAGTCAACTCACGATATTGCGCAACCATCTTCCAATGTCATTTGTAGGTCTTACGCTAGGACGAAACAGATATCCCGCATTTTCTGATTTCCATGGTTGTCTGAGATCAGTTCATGATGTTAACTATAAAATTCAAAAATCTGCGTAAAATACCAATTACTGGCAAAATCAACTAAAAAATTAGAAACAACCTAAATTACTCTTCCCTGAGAAAAAGATTTGAATAAAACCTACATCCTAAATAAAGATTAACTGGAAAAATACACACCACTGAGAAAAGTATAAGGTCTTCGAGTTTCAATTTCAAATTGGTAAGCGTGATCTCGTACAACGATGATAGCCAGCATCTTTGTAGGCATAAACCAAACTTAACTTATGGAAGAAAGAATAACTATATGACTGAATGACCTCGGATCATCTGGTTGACTCTTTATCAAGAGAAGTGAGATCTAACCCAGGCTAAATCTCAGTTTTAAAGCTAATCTTAGGGTTTCTGGTGAGAATCCTCACGTATATCAAGTGTTTCACTTGGTTCAATTATCGTCCCTGAACAAAATACATAATTTACTAATCACTCTGGCGCTGGATATACTTTCACAAACTGATTCACTAGGGTTTTTGTGAATACTTAGTCATAAATAAAATTCATTTTACTTACTTCTGTTGTAAAATGAATAAGATTAACTGAGGACATCCACATCAATTTCACGTAACCAGGGTCCCGTGTATAATAATAATTTTGTAACAGTGGTATCTGTACCAGAGAAGCGAACAATACAATATAACCCTATCAAAGTAAAGTCTTAAGAGTTAACGACTAATCGGATGAAGAAATTTCTATTCATTATCACAATACTTAGCCAGGCAAATAGATAACCCACTAATTGGATCTGCATTTCTGATGTACTATACCAATGTGTGTTTGAGATAACTTGCAACTAGATTTATGTAAAATTAATCTAGTTTGTAATTTTTATTTCGAAAAAACCACGGGTTGCGAACAGTTTATGAGAACTTATGGAAACGAAGTGGGATCATTTTATTTTGCATAAGAACTTGATGACACTTTAAATTAGGAAAGTACTAAATGTATCATATTGAACGGACATCATATAACTTTACATCTAATTTACAACTTGTTCTTAATAGTAGTTATCTTAGAGTTTTACTCGATACTTAGAAGTAGGGTTTATAACAAATACAAACTTCTAAAATCAACACTTGGTTTTACGAATTCACTTATTGCACCGAAACGCCAACGCCATAATAGTGATCTCGCCTACTTGCTAATAGAAATAAATGAACACTCGATGAAATTCGCCAACAGCTACTAAAACAGCCAATGACATTTAACATGATGAATAAACAAGATGAGTTTAACGAATTATTAAATAAATGGCTATGTCGTTATAAAGTGTTGAGAATAAGACTTTTTGTACATGAAAATGTTGCCAAACTTTGGTTTTGATAAGAGCTATTAAATCTCGAGTGTTTACTCTTACACTAAACGCACGTGAAATCCTCCTTGCCCAAACAGGCAGCTGTCCACTGCCTATAGATCACTAAATGCACAAAAGAACAATATTAATTACTGACTAGAAAACTAAGAAGTATATACTAATTTAATAATACTTAAGTACGTATCTTCCCGTAAAATGCAATTGCAATACAAATCAGGTACATGCAAGATACTTGAAATATGTATAGCTTCAATGATAATTTTGGATACTGGAAACCCGACAAAATTACAGTTGCCACGTAAATTTCAGCCCAAATGTGGTTTCTGGGTAGAACAGGAGGTAATATGTACGTTGATTCAGGATTATTTGTTGATAACCTTTACCAGCAAGAACAGCTTGGTATGTTTCGGAGCAAAAAGCAGGGGTATTTACTTGTTTCATCACGGACATTTTTGTTAACTATTATATGAATATCGTTAATTTCACTCTACAACCGAAGACTTTTAAAATAAATAAATTGAGAATCCGTTTTCAGGTGCATTAAACAGATTTATCGTCGGATAAAAACACATATAGATCAGGATTACTATGTATTTTAAAGAATGAAATGAACATTCAGTTTACATGTTATATGATATCTCTTGGCGGACGAAATTTTAGTGAACGTAAACCAAGAAACTAAATTCCACAAGTTTAACGAAAATAAAGCAAGTATTTACAATGACTAATAAGTCAAATACATAATAAGTGAATAATGAAACTATAAAAGACCATTGGTCATACGTGGCGTAAGCCACAATTTTAGCCGAAAAGCATCTCTTCCATTTAAATAATAACGAAGAAGCCTTTTATCTCTGTAGAATCCCAGCTGCTCATAAAGTGAAAGGGCTGCTTTGTTGTCAACTTCTGCTTCTAAAGAGATCTAAAACAATACAAGAAGTGAAGTATAAAAACATATGAAAGTTTATCATACACACGAGGAATTTAGAAATCGGATGACAGGCTGTTGAGAACTGATGAGTAGTATTTACGATGAGGTTTATGACTTTTACCACAACAACAAATCAGTGCCAGTTCGATGTGTATTACCTCAATGCAGTGACCAGCCTTGCCTACTATGATGGCTCACTTGGTTAATACCGTGATGCTGATTCGGTATAAAGAATTGGGCTAACGTACATTTGTGTCAGGCTCCACGGTGATTATAACCAACTGATTTATATCACTGAAAAGGTTACGACAACGAGACAGGCTGGGGAGTTGTTAAAGGAAAATTAGCGACTTTCTTAGCATGAATGATTGAATGACATAGCGCGGGTGGATAAAGTGGAATGAAACAGTAGTGGTGTCCCCTATTTTGTAAAGATAGCATGGAAAATAAACTGAAAGAAGTAAACGTTCCACTTGCCTATTTATGTAGAAGCACACACCGGTCTAGACTGAATAATCCTCTGGAAATCCAAATTCCTATTAGAGATTCCTTTCTAACAAAACTATATGCCTAAACGAGTACTAATATTGTAGAATCTAATACAACTTAACAATTAGGGAAGTTGTACATCCAGCTTTGAATAATACATTCCGCAGAAAGGCTAAAAACGCTATTCAGCTGACTAAAGTGAAATTGAGATGAGGTTCGATGGAGTTGGAAGTTGAATGCTTCGACCACTAGGATTACACTAAGTGAGTATTGCCTATTTTATAGTTACAGAAGGGAGGAAAACGCTGTTCGATTATTCTGAGAATTTATGATTATAATCAAATTTTAGTATTGATGAATATCTCGGGTAATGATGAATAACAAATAATAGCATGACAGAAAAGAATCGGATGAATGTGAAAACAGTACAATGATACTGTTGATACAAATGTAAAAAGGAAAATGTTGAAAATGTCATCTCACTTCATCACACCTATCTTGAATCATAAGTTCGATTGCAAGTTGAGCCAATCGTGATCCTACGTTAGATAAAAATTAATCAAAATAGAACGCGACAAACCAATGCCAATTCTACGGTGATTTTCTTCAACAGCAAGCATAGCTATATATCCTTTTCGAACAGTTTCTTCACCACCTTCCATTTTACAAACAATTGTGCCCACACAAGTTCCGTCTTCACTAACAGCCTTTACAGTTCGACAATTAACACAAATCCACAAGACAAACCAATAAACACAGTTTGGGCCAGTTGTATATAAAATATCGATAAGTATATAAGGAATAAGGTTCGGAGAGATCGTTAGCAATGAGATGGATAATACTGTTTAGATCTGATTCGCCAATATACTGCCGAAAAGTGATTCCATTTTGCGTATCTGTGAATAGAGGTTCAATTGGCTGAACTGAAAAGTTTAGAAGCTCGACAAATTATATCCTACATTTATTTTCACTATGACATTTTTCCGACAAAACGATTTTGTTAAGCTCGGTAGAAAGTTTAACATCGTCTGACATCTCCAGTTGCCTATATGCTGAGTAATAAAAATAAAAAATATGAAACGAACAAATAACACAAAAAATGCATACTGGAGTCGAAGTCATACTTAAGATTTTCACAATTGATTTGGATTTATAACACTATTTCACTTAATAATAGTCGGTTATTTACTAAGAAGGTTGTAACAAAAATGTATTATTTTCTGTCTAGAATGGTTTGAATGTACTACTTGTCTATGATTGGTAGGATAGTCAAATGTCAGACAACAATAAATTAGAAGCCTTGGATCTTTTTCTTTGGAATAAACCTTAATCCTCCTAAATCCGTTATTCGGAACGTAAATTGTCGAATTTACTCAGGAATCTATTATACTAGTAAACGATCTGTCAGAAATAATATATTTTCTTAGGAAACGAGTGACTATCGCCAGTTGAAGCTGATATATATATACCCCAAATTAGACATAAGTGTTACAGTATCTAAACTAACGGCTTCGGTTTTGGCACCCGGACAGTATCCCAGCCCTCGCACAAATCGAATGATTTACGTGGCACATATCTATTTGGTGCCTCCTTGTACCAATGTTTGTGTGTTTAAGTAAATAAATAACTAAAATAACTGAATTTACAAAGGACATGTTTAGGCTGGCCAAAGAGGAAAAGGACAAAAGTGAAACTTATTAACCTACCAGCAAGAACACAATAGTGATTTTAAACCTGCGTCGTGGTGTGAAGCTAACAAAGACAACTAGGATTTACCGTGATCTAATAGAGGTAGACACATTCGAGAGCGTAAAATGTGGTTGGATAGCTAGACCCCGTACAAAAGGCCGTAATACGTTTGAGGACATTAAAAATACCCGACCGAAGCTGCTACCTTGACGCGGTGGTCGGGCTTGCCTATCGTGATGACCCAACCGAGCTATATTGGCTGGAACATATGTTCCTGCAGGTTCTACCATGCCAGGCAGGTCGATTGGTGAAAGGTAAGACTAAAAGCAACAACCCAAGGTCTAAGGGCGAAGTCGTACTGCTGACTGTACAGAGGTGTGACAGCAGTAAGGTGTTTCCTTCAGACAACCAGCATGACAGCGATGCTGCCTTCCCACAAGGAGGGATCGGGTTAGAAAAGGTCGACCCTAAAAATGTCACATCTCACCTTACCTCACGGATTTCCGTCTCCGGCGGTAAGGCCCTTTGAAGGACGGAGCTAACACGTCAAAAACCTCCCACAAAAAGGCCGTGCGCGACCGGCCTTAAGCAGTTGTCCCTTGGGCTCTGCGATCACGCTCCCAGGTCGTCAAGACCAACATTAATCCAATTTCCTTTTCAGGTTCCTCAAGAAATACCCTTCTACGGTGTGGGCAGCCGGGAAGTGACACCACCCCTCATACCCGTAACAGCACAAGAGACCAAGGTGGTCACATTCAAATCCTTCCTACACCTTCTAATACCTCTCTTATCTCCCCGACTAACCCTCCTCAAGTCTCTTTATCACCTCGCACCGCTAGGGCAAACGATTCGAGTACGTGGAACGCTATTCCTGGTCTCCTGAAACCACGCTCTAAACTACACGTAGGAGCTTTTAACGTCCGAACACTGTGCTAAATAGGACAGCAGGCTTCCTTAGCTAAAACTTTAAAATCTCGCGCCATCGATGTGTGCTGCGTCTCCAAAACGCACATACAGGATCCAAGTAGCGTCATTCATTTGACCTCACCATGCCTAAATAAAGAACCGACTCGATTTACGCTTCGTGTATCTGGAAGCCCTGATTCTGCTTCCCGTGGTCTCGCCGGCGTAGGTATAGCATTGAGTCCCAGGGCAGAACTAGCTCTCTTAGAATGGATCCCAGTAGACAGTCGTTTGTGCGCTGTCCGACTGAACGGAACAGTAAGGATCCGGAAAGATAGGGACACTCGTCGTTGCCTCTTCGTCGTCTATGCCTATTCTCCCACTGACTGCAGCTCAGATGATGTAAAAGATGAGTTTTACAGAAAGCTTTCGGACCTTCGCCGAAAAGCTAGGCGCTCTGATGTAGTAATAGTGGCCGGTGACTTTAATGCTCAAGTAGGTAAACTAAGCGATAGGGAAAGACACCTAGGTGGATCTTATGGTGTCGTAGCTCAAAGAACAGATAATAGCGACCGTCTGTTGCAGCTATGCTTAGATAACCGCCTGTTCCTTGCAAATACTAACTTTAAGCATAAGGAAAAACATCTTTTGACATGGCGACCCCCTAATTCATCCCAACGTTGGACTCAAATAGATCACATCGCTATCAGCCACCGATGGAGGGGCTCGATAGAAGACTGTCGCTCATTCTGGAGCACATGCCTTGATTCAGATCATGCTGTAGTGCGAGCGCGTATTTGCTTGCGTCTTACTGGACGTAGGAAAGACGTTGCAAGGAAACCTCTTAGGGGCCTACTTAATGATAGTCAAGCTAAGAGTATATTTCAGGAACAACTAGAAAAACAGTTAGGCAGCCATGTATGTGATGCCCACCCCGATGCAGCATGGAATGATATCCGAAAAGCTGTAGAAACAGCAGTGATATCTGCTAGTAAGGTAAACCAGAATGTTAGGGAGCAACACTAGATCTCAGCAGCATCTATCTCACTGATAGATGCTCGGAAACTCATTCCACCTGGCTCTGAACATAATGAGGAGCGGAGTCTGCTTAAGCGCAAGCTGACAAGAAGTCTAAGCAATGATCGTGAACAGTGGTGGGTAGCGAAAGCAAGAGAGATGGAAAAGGCAGCGGCAATAGGTAATAGCAGACAATTGTTCAGACTCGTTAAGGAAACCGGTATTAGGAAACCAACTGTTAGCGAAACACTCTCAGAGAAAGATGGACATATTATTCATTCTCAATCCAGGAGATTGGATCGATGGGCAGAACACTTTAGGGATCAGTTTAACTGGCCTTCAGCTACACTTCGGTTTCCTACGATTTCCAGTCAACCTGAATGGCAAGTTAATGTAGGTCCTCCATCTCTTTATGAAGTTGAGAAAGCTATAGGAAATCTGAAGCGAGGAAGAGAAGCAGGCCCTGACGGGTTTACTCTTGAGATTTTTAAGAATGGTGGTCCAGTATTAGCAATGAGATTAACTGAGGTCTTAGGTAGAATTTGGGATCTGGACGTAATCCCATCTGACTGGTCTCAATCACTGATTGTGCCAGTCTATAAGAAAGGACAAAAGTACTCTTGTGACAATCACAGAGGAATCAGTTTGACTAATATAGTGTTTAAAATATTAGCTTCAATAATACTTCAACACCTAATCAAAGCTCGTGAAGAGCAGATTAGAGAAAACCAGGCCGGTTTTCGACCTGACGTGGTTGTATAGATCAGATATTCACACTACGTCAGGTTCTAGAACACAGACACACATTCAGACGCCCCACTATCGTAGTATTTCTCGACCTTAAGGCGGCATTCGACTCTGTTGATCGTGAGGTTCTATGGCAGTGTTTGTCACTGAAAGGAGTACCAAAGAAGTACATTAACCTTATAAAGGCTCTCTACTCGAACACAACTGGTAGAGTAAGAGCTTATGGAGAACTGTCATCAGAATTGATTACCTCAAGTGGTGTTCGTCAGGGCTGTCCACTCTCCCCATTCTTGTTCAACTTTGTGGTCGACGTACTTTTAGAGATAACACTCTCCTCATCTAAATTTCCAGGGGTTGAACTTGTACCGGGAGGTTCATTTGTTGACTTAGAATATGCAGATGACATAATTTTATGTGGTGAAGACGCTGACAAAATTCAGAGTCTTCTGACCACTCTAAGCAACAATGCAAGCATGTTCGGCATGAGACTCTCCCCACCGTAATGCAAAATGTTGCTTCAGGATTGGGTTGCATCGACACCCGAACTAATTATAGGGAGTGAAGTAGTTGAGTGTGTCGACCGCTTTACTCATCTTGGAAGTCTCATCAGCCCTTGTGGTCTGGTGTGTGACGAAATCTTAGCACGGATACAGAAGGCTCGACTAGCTTTTGCCAACTTGCGTCATTTATGGCGTAGGCGAGGTATCCGTCTATCAACCAAAGGACGTGTTCACTGCTCAGCAGTTCGTTCCGTCCTACTTTATGGCAGTGAAACATGGCCGGTAAGAGTAGAGGATATTCGTAGGTTACTAGTATTTGATCATAGGTGTCTTCGAAACATTGCTCGTATATCATGGGACCATCGAGTAAGTAACGCATTTGTTAGGAAACGGGTACTAGGTAAGGATGGCAAATCAATTGATGAAGTAGTGAAACTTCATCAGTTGAGATGGCTGGGACACCTGTTACGTATGCCCAACGACCGACTACCTCGACGTGCTATGTTCAGTGGTGTAGGAGTAGATTGGAAGAATGCTAGGGGCGGCCAGACCAAAACATGGCACAAGTTCATGAAGTCACTGACAAGTGCACCGAGTCATGTTGGTAGGTGTAGACTACCTGGTTGGGGACTGCGAGATTATAGCAACCGATGGTTAGAGACCTTGAATGACATGGCTCAAAATCGTTTGCAATGGCGCAGGTGAATCCAATCTTTGTGTTCTCCCGAATTCTAATCTTCTGATTTCTTCATGTCCCTTTCTTTTTCTTCTTCCAAATTTATTTCACTGGATTATACTCCTTGAATAACGTCTTTAAACCCTAATTTTTCTGATTGCAGCTTATAATTTTACTACATCTACCACTACGGGATTTGAATCGACAACTGCATCTCCGTGCTAATATGGTGTGGCAACTCGAACTGATGTACGTACGTACGAAGTTCTACGTTGTTACTGACTGACTGACATTAAAAATAAGTTGGCTAGTTAGTAGTCCTCGCAACGATATGTTTTTCACTTATACAAATTAAGATCAAAGGCCTGGATTGTGACGCACTGTTAGTAAGCACAGCAGCACTTGGAACGTGCAGCTGAAATAGAAACCAGTTACGTTATTCTTTTTAAACCAATATTACAAGTGCTTAGGAATTTTTCGAACCACAAAACTAAGGGATTTTATCGCCAGATTCGCTAACTCTCAAGTAGTAAGTATACGAAAGCGCGAAAAGTTACCGAAGTAGCTAACGTTTCTTGAACACTGAGATTCACCATACTCAAACTGTAAGACGTCTTGTTATAAAAATTGAATTATCCCCTTACATTATTCATAAAATCTCCATGACTTCGCAAACTAAGACGAAATTTACTCCCAACTTTCAATTTTATTGTAAAGTAGTGGTTTAGTTAAAGCATATATGCTTTACCTACATCAATCAGACGATATATCGTCTGATTGAGGAATCATTATGAACTCACTCTTACAGATAGTTTAGCCAAAAGTTAATGTTGCACTTGGTATTTGTTACAGGAAAGCATGATTTACTGTCTCAATCTAATTCTAGCTTAATGTCTATAGGTAAGGCAACTAGCTAAGTTAACAAATACACCGAGCCTAATTGGCTCATAAGGCAAAGACAATTCTGCTTATGCGGTTGTGACGGCAAATTCAAATATGAGATCTGTTCCTGTTAAATGTTGTAATCATAATCCTAAGAAGATCTAGAAGGTGAAGAGAAAACAATAACGTTGTGAACGTACTGCTACTTCCCCAAGGTCACTCAGGACTTCGAAATATAGCGGGTAAAGGCAAAAGACTTCTAGGTTCCAATTGTTCAAATGGATGTCGACGGATTAGAATAGGCTTTCATCTAATAGGCCTCTGTATGCAGCAGCAACGAACCACCAATGAATTCAAGTAGAAAACTATTGGAAATTACAGACGAAAAGGGAATAGCAGTAAATTATGTTAAGATACCATTCAGAGTCCTTAAGAACTTGTCAAGTCTGTCAACGAAATACTCCTAGGAAGTCAATTGAACCACTTTATCTGGCAGTGGATTTCAGAGTATGGCTACTCGTTAGCACTAGAATGTGTGCCTACAGTCTATTATGCCATGTTATGGCGACAATTTTAAGGTGTTGGTCCTAATGTTTGCGTTGGGGTTGTGAATAAGTAAGCGTTTAACAGGATACCCAATAGTGTTTGGGATTCTGTAATTCATTAGAAGGTCATTTTAAAGATGCCCATACTCTAATGGTTAAACTTTTGATGGTTGGAGGATCTGTTCATAAGGCTTACATTTGATCCCCGACCTGATTTCATGGCGCGCTGTTGAATACGTTCCAACATGTCTTTTTCGTTTCTGAATGAGGGAGGAACCACTGCGTTTCCATACCATAGATGGTGTTGAAGATCAAACGGAAAGTTTCACCTTCGAATTGTCCAAAAGTGCTCCCCGATGTTATTAGTGCAAGGTTTGCTTGAAAAACATTTTTGTCATATTTGGTTTTGGACTTTGGATGTTAGGGTGCCAATACTCTTAAATATTCTTCAACTTTTGATACCTACATAGGAGCTTTGCTTAAGTTATGTAGGCAGTTGGCAAAATGTCTCAGATGGACTACTTTACACTTTGAAGAGTTGAAAGTAAGTCCGTTGTAATCCGCTCGTCTCTAAAGTCGAGTCAGGTCCTCTTGAAATGTCATTTTACCATATTGATTGTATACTACGCTCCAAAACCTAGATCTGTGAGGAAGGTCATTCATATAAATAAGGAAGAGGTCGTAGCACTGAAATCTGAGATGTTCCACTAAGACATTCTTTAGGCTGAGAAAAAGTGAAGTTTAATCTGAGCCTAAAATATAGGTTATTTAGCCATGAAGTAAGCCAGTTTACTAATGGTGGCTTGGTGAGACATTATGTTAACCCTATCAAAAGCTATAGAGAAATCAAGGTTTGTTGCCCCAACCTATCCTTTCAAATAAGGATGGTTGTCCGTCTGTTAACCTCAGTCATTAGGTTGGTCATGGAGGAGCAGTCCTTCCTGAGATAATGTTGTCGGGGTGTAAAGAATCTTAAAAGTAAAAAGTAGCCACTCAGGCTGTCTCATATCGGGGACTCCATGACTGTGAACATCAAGAGGAGATCTATCGGCCGGTGGATAAAGAGTCATTGAGTCGGCGGCGTTTGAACAATGGTACGATGTGCTTTAGCTTTCAATTGACTAAGATCGTGCTTCGACATGGGGGATGTGAGGATGCAACACTAGGCAGTGTTTCCAAGGGCAAGGCCACTTCTTTCAGAATTAAAGAGTAAACCATACCTAGACCAGGAGAAGTTTCCTTGCTTAGTTTCCTTACTCAGCCGTTTTGCAAAAGTTTGATGCAAAAAGCTTATTGTCTGGCTTAAGTTAATATGTTACATACGGTGGTATTAGGAAAAACCTATTTTATGCCTAGATTAATATGATTTGTGTACATGCGTCACGTTTTTCCATAGTATATCACTTCGTGATGTATAAACAAATAAGATTTCGAGTACGACCATGCGGAAGTGATATAACATGAGATTAATTTGTGTGAAATTAGTTACAAAAGGTCATTAAATATGTTAAACAGCAGAACATTCGATACAATCATGAAACTAGCCTGTGTTATTATCGGTTTTACATCAAGAAAATTTAGAGGAGCCCCCAAAACGACATCAATCCAAGAGGATCTGCACTAAATACGATATAATAAGGAGTTTTCGTGCCTTAAGGTAACCTTCGTGCTATTGATAGAAAAAACCAGACAAATAGTGAATAGGTCTTTATTTCAATCTTCGCGCAGTCACAGTGGAGCGTGGAGTTATTTATTCAGACAAACAAAACCTGTCAACATACAATATAAGATAATAGGGAATATAACACCTATACAAAATAAGGAAGTAAATAAATACTTGAACTATATTGTTCAGGCATATGCTTGGTTGTTTGAGGTGAACTCCTAACCAACCAACCTAAGCCGTTACAGAATTACCTCCTGGATTCGCAGAATGGTTCGGTATAGGTGAAAAAATAGTTCAGGCCAAATACGTATCAGTGGTCGGATAGACAATCCTTACAAAACCTAGGATGGTGGTGAATGATATGCAGGTAGATGTGCATTCGCATTGCTGTATGGTAATACTTCCAAGTGGTTGATATTTTAGCAGACATACAACACAGGAGCACTTGCCTTCTGTTAACGCTTGTTAACAAACCATCATTGCTTATTATAATCTTAGTTGACTAGTTATGTTCAGTAACTGAGCTAGTTAGTAAGGTTTGAATACTTATCAACATTGAGATTTAGCAGGGAATGTTTACCGTAATATACAAACTTACACCTAAGTAGAGATAACAATCATATTAAGTTGCGTTATTTAGGGTCATGGTGGACCATTTCCAAAATAATGATCAGGTTTTTACGAAAAACAGCACGTTAATATACTGAAATATGGATTATACACAAAGAAAAATGCTGGACGGTAATTTAATTATCGGAATATGTGTTCAGATTGTTTTTGGTCTCGTACTACACAGTTATAAGTAGTCAATGATTCCAAATATGTTTGATGTATTCCAATTGTGTATCCAGAGTAATCATGTAGTGAGAATATCAATACCATCAGTAAAAAGAGCAAGTACATCAGAGTTCTTTTATCGTAACAGCTGATTAGTGGGAACGCGCAGTATGTGAGTGCAGCGGTGTTTTGTTAGAGGCACTTGATTTCTCATGCTATGATAGTACAAAGTGGGAACGAAAGATCAATGTTAAGTTCTTTTAAATAAAAATTTTACAGTCAGTAGTGGTAAGCTTACAAATTATGCGAAGTGAAGAGCAAACAACTAGCAATAAAAACAAATTACCAAATAAGTTTATAGTGACCTACTTTTATCAAGAAAAAGCGGTTGGTGTAATGGAAACAGTTATTATAATAACAAATTGTACCAGGGATTGTTTTACCATACTTGTTTGTTTAATTGTACCAAAATACATACATTCTTCCGTTGATTGTGATCTTGCACGAATTCGGTTACGCTCAGTAACCCTGTAGAATTATGGTCTAATATGATATTAGTACTGCTCTAATAATAGACCTAATCCCAAAATTGTAGATTCGTCATGATATAACTGCCTAATCTATAAGATCTTACGTGGAAGTCACACCATCGACTACACCAACTCACTGTATCGTATCAATTACCAATACCTGATGAGAAACAAGGTTAGGCTAGAGAAAGAACAATATATTCAATATGAATAGAAGATGTAAAGTAACACTGAGATGGACCCCGCCTGCATGGACGAGCCATGCCACTCGATCAACTCCAGTCCATTCAATTCCTTGTTCGCGCCTTCTCCATTGTTAGGTATTTCTCGGCGTTAAATATTGAATATCTATTTTCTGAGTAGTCTCGTGTTCACAGCTTTGTGAATCGTGTGGCTATTGTCCAATGCCACTACAATCCCACTTGCAACCTGGCACGATCTCGGTATTTCTTTGATACCCCGAGACCGCCAACAAAAATAGATCTCGACTACACCCATCAACTGCCTTCTGATATTTAACCTACGGGGTATCTTATCGGTTGACTGGCACGCAGTCTTCCTGTGGTGGTGATCATAGCCAACCACGACTCGACGCCACACAACAAGTTTGTGTCAACTACCTCCACAAAGTCTTACTCGCTCTTTTAGATCACCAAGACTGATAACCGGTTTCGATGACTGGCGATCTGCTAGGCTTGAACGGGAATGGTATGACCTCTATGCCTACGTCGGAGTAATACATTGCACTCTTTACCTAATATAGACTACGTTTTCGTCGCACGCAAGTACTGAAGCTACTTTGATGACCGTATGGGGAAAACATAACGACGTTACTGAAATGCAATAATAAAAACAGGCGTATGAAACAGGGTGCGACTACTGAAAACAAGCCAGTGTGTAGCGTGCGATTTCTCGATGTGTGTTAGCTGTCATTAACCTCGCCGGTGGTTGGTAAAATGTACAACATTCAGTAATTTGACTGTCATGTGAGTTGGCAAGGAACCAATGACGTTTCACTGACCCTACATTCTTAATTCTAACAATGTTGACTACAAGTTATTATTATTATTATTCACAAGCACCTTATGGGTAAATAAGTGTTGTGAAGAAACCATTTCGGGTTTCTTCAGAAAATGCAATAATACACAATTTTCAATAATATCAGCATTATACTTGCCATTTAAAAAAAATTAGAGCAATAATAGTAGAATATTAATAATAATAAATCGGGTCTATGCAATTGAGAAGAATATTGAATTGAGTTTAAAGAAGGAAATGGAGAAAATAAGGGAATAGAAATAAAGGAGACATGAAATACGCAAACAGTCTAATAGGTGTGTTTATGAACACAGAACAAGAATAAACGACTATGTGTGTATCGTTAAATTAGTAGCAAAAATAATTTTTAAAATAACTTATAATTGCAGTAAGATATGACGCTAGAATAAATGTTTGTGCAGTTATAGTTTAGAGTGATGCGATGAAAGTCTCAATTGAGTGGAAAGGATAATAAAATATCACCCGAAGTAGTTGTGCTGATGAAGAATGGGATAACACAATCCAAACCCCTGTTAGTGCAACACCCAGTTACAGTAACTGTGCAACGGATAACAGGAAAACTAATCATAACATTCATATAACTGACCACGCACTTAACGTTGATATATTCGAACCTCGCAAACCATCGCAAGTATGTTTAACAGTACACAATCCTCTCCAACTTATGAAGAAGCCGAAATCAACCAC